GAGAGAGAGAGAGAGAGAGAGAGAGAGAGAGAGAGAGAGAAAAAAAAACGATTATGTACCGCTTTCACGAGAACTGCTCTTGTCGGAATGATATATAGAGAAATATGATTATGTACTGATTGGTCACTTAATTAATAGAGCCAACTTTATGCATATATTATCCATGATTGTGATCGTGTGTGACGGTTGTGGCTAATCTCTATGTAGTTAGGTGGAGTACGCGTTACAACAGTATATCTTAGTCCTGATCGTCGTAGCTGTATTGCCACGTGTCCAATACATGATCATGCTTTTCTATCATTGCTCACGAACATCTTTAAGCGTCGACTTTTTCTTTAAATTAAATTGCTAATATTTTCACCTCAGTTTTGGCCTATAAAATGGAATCAATTCATCCGTCCGCGCTCCTTTTTCATCTCCAAAGGCAAGAGTATATACAAAAGGAATTTTTTAATTTACTCATTCGGATAGAGATTAAGAGTATTAAAAAATATAAAAAATGATATTAATTTTAATATCAAATAAATTTAATTAAATAATTAATATATTAAAATTTGATTTTTATTTTTTTAATACACATTTTTTAACAAAAAAAAATATAATTAATATAATCTGAATATATACTTTTAAAATATAGATTAAATAAATTTTTTATAAAAATATATTTTGTCTTTGAAACAAGAAGACCTAAACTCTACTCTTTCTTTTGGATTATAAAATAGAAAATAATTACTCACGGCACCGTCGCGTTCTGTTCTGTAAGTAAGCCTCTGAAAATTTGAGAAAAGTTGTGCTTCCGGGTCCACAAAAGAGAAAATTTGAGAAAAAGGCATATGTTCACTTCAATCCTTCATTAACTTCAAACTAATAAATCTTGTTTTCAATTTAAGTCCCTTATCTTAGCCCTTTGCATCATGTCTCTGCCAACCGCTGTCGCAAGATATTACCCTTGTTCCCACAATTCAAAGGTCATCATTTCGTGCCTGTGAACTATTGTTTTTCATAAAAAAAGAAAAACAAAAAGAAAAATTACCTATTCTTTGTTTATCTTTTAATTTAGTAAAAATTTATCAATATTAAATTTAACTATGTTTAATTTATAAATTTATTTTATTTTTATAATTTAACAAAAAAAATGGGAATAATTATTACCACTAGCAAAACATGAAATTTTTTACTAAAAATAGCAATAGGCATGTACCTATTTCAATCCCTTAATTCTAAACCGGTGAAACTTGTTTCAATTTTATTATATTACAATATTAGCCAAATTCAAAATCATGTCTCTTTCATAATTATGCGAAGCACGAGCTGGTTTAAGCAATCATGAATTTGTGATGAAATTGTGATAATTAATCATGAGTTAAGATCTAATTACACAACTCTTAAACACATCATTTACAAAAAAATTTAACCATTCATCTTAGTTACACAACTCTCACACACATCAAAGATAATTGATTGAGATATTTTTTCTTTATTTTCTTTCAACCTTAGAGGCTGCTTGGATGAACTTAAAAAAATATTTTTTTAAAGTAAATTCTCCTTCAACAAATTCAAAAAATCGACTTTAAAGTAGCTTAGGGGGTCAAATACTACCATTCAGGGAGAGTTTCAGGGTCATGTACTTCTGCTTCTAGTTAAAGAATAGATTTAGCACCGATAAAGGGTACAAAAGCTGATTTGCCCCTTTTTGCCTTCTTTTAGTTAGTAATTTTCTTAGGATTTATCTAAATTTTGTGTTTTAAATACAAAAATTAAATGTCTAATTAATATATTTTTGTAATATTAATTAATATAAAAAATAATAAAAATTAACACTAATTTGTTATTAATGCTTCAAATATTATTTTTATTAGATAACTAATTAAATAAATATTAAATTTTATTTTTTAATAATAATTACTATTAAAAAGATAGTTTTAATTTATACCTTTGAATATAGGTTAAAAGAATCCATTTTCCTAACAGAGACAAAATCCGAAAACTACAAAAGACACAGCACTGCAGTGCAGTTGCGTTTGAACTCTGGAATAAAAATAGTGGTCTGGTCTAGAATCAATTTCACGTTCAAAGTGATGCTGAGTAGTTGTGAGCTGCAATAACCGGCAATGGCAGCTACCCAGTGAAAATAGGACAGTGATGTGCCGATGAATAGGGATTTAGCTGTGTTTTTCCAATTTTCTAATAGGGACGTTTTCTTCTTCCATGTCACTTACCCAGAAGCTTATTCGAATGTCTTGAAATAAAAAAAATAATTAGAAGACAAATAGAGACATAATTATAATATATTATAAATTTATAATTTTATATAATATTATCGTTATAAATAACTTACAACTAATATATTCTGCTATTGAAAATAAACCCATATATAGGCATATACCCACTTCAATCCTTCACTAACTTCAAACTAATTAATAAATCTTGTTTTCAGTTTAAGCCCCGTATCTTAGCCCTTTGCATCATGTCTCTATAGCCGGATATCAAGGAGATGAATAAGGAAATCAATCAATCAACATTAATCTCTGATATAATCTCTGATATTTTGCTGGTCATACCAGTAAATGCATTCCCTGTATAGAATCACTGATTTAGGCTTGATTATAGTTGACAGTTTGTATATATGTATATTGCAATCACAATGAGGAAGACAAGATTTCATGCGCATATCATTGCCATTCGTAATCTGATTTTATCATGGTATCAGAGCAGTGAAGGTTCAATCGACGGCAAGATTTTGCTGCAAACAATCGACTTTGACGGCAAGGTTTTACTATGTTCAACAATCGACAATGACTGACACTACAGCCAAGAATGGATCCAAAACGGAAAAGAGAGAAATAGGTATCCTTAAGACAACAGATCCGGATTCACCCTATTTTCTCCATTCCAGTGATGATCCAGGGAGGGTCTTAGTCACGACTCCCTTGACCGGGGAGAATTACCACACGTGGAGAAGGAGTATGCAGAATGCCTTATTTGCAAAGAACAAGATGGGGTTTGTTGATGGGAGCCTTAAGAGACCAAACGCAGATTCTCCAGAGTATCAGGCTTGGACAAAGTGCAATTTTATAGTGCTTTCATGGTTACTTAATGCTCTCTCTAGGGACTTGCAGGGAAGTGTGGCCTATGTGGAGAGTGCTGCTGAGGTTTGGAATGACTTACATGAACGCTTCTCACAAGGAAATGCATCTCGGGTACATGAATTAAAACTCGAACTTGCAACTACCACACAACAGTCAAGATCAGTAGCAGCATATTTCACAAATTGAAGCCTATATGGGATGAACTACAAGCAAATGAGCCAGTGCCGACATGCACTTGTGGTTGTACATGTGGTGTAGCAAAGGAGTATATGAAGGTACGAGAAACAAAGAAAGTCCATCAATTTCTCATGGGACTAAATGAGAATTTTTCGACTGTTCGATCACAGATCTTAAGCACAGAACCCCTCCCATCACTGAATAAGGTGTATGCAATGACTACCAAAGAGGAGAAGCAACAAGCAATGGCTGCATCTAGAAGTCCAATTATAGAAGCAACAGCCTTGGCAGCAAAGATGAATCACACTGGGAAATCTTCCATGTCAGGGAAGCCACGCTGTGATCATTGCAAGAAGGTTGGTCATACTAAAGAGAGATGCTATGAAATCATTGGATACCCAGTTGGTTGGAAGATAGGGCCAGCCAAAATGAAGGGAAAGGGGGAGCACCAAAAGTATCAACATCAGGAGAAAGAGTTGATTTTTGCAGCCAATATATCACATGAGTCACGGATGGCAGGAGATTCACTGGATCAATCACTAGGGATGTCAACGGGGCCCCGCGGGGCCGGGGACCCCTTCCCCATCCCCGTCCCCGTGACTCACGGGGACGGGGATCCCCACGGGGATTTTTTACGGGGGGCAGATTTTGCCCCCCGTCCCCGTTCCCCGCGGGGAATGGCGATCCCCGCGGGGATCCCCATTCCCCACGGGGAACGGTAGCAACAGCAATGGCAGCAGATGGCAGCAGATGGCAGCAGATGACTTCGTTGCAGCAGCAAATCGCTCTAGCGGCAGCAAAGCAGATGGATCCGATCCGGCAGCAGGCCAGCGGCAGCAGACCAGCGGCAGCAAAGCAGATGGATCCGGTCTGACAGCAGGCCAGCGGCAGAGCAGATTCATACAAGCATGAATCACTAAATATCATTCACTTTTAGCAAATTCATACAAGTTTAAGCATCAAACATCAGGAAATTGCAGAATATGAAACAAAAACACCCAAGGCGAAAATTTTGGAGAAAGGCAGATCC